GTGTTCATCCCCCTGCTGAGACAGAGGGGGCCGTCTCCTCAAATGCAAATACAAGACAGGAAGAAGAGGACAGGTAAGGTGCACAAGAGATGGGAAGTCTTAGAAAAATATGATTGATGTTCCCTCAGTGGATTGGAGCTGACTCTTCGTTGCTCTCAGGTCTCTGCTAAAAAAGTTAGTGCTACTTTCCATACTGCATGTGTGTGTGGGTGTGTGTGTAGCCACCTTCACCATTTGGACATCTATATCTTGGTGAACGAAAGAGGAGAGGGAAATGAGACAGAAAAAAGAGAGAAGTGGGTGAGCTGAAGGGAGAAGGGGGGGGGTAAAGAGGTCAAACCAAAAGGAGAGGGAATGAGGGAGTGAAAGAGTGAAGGAGAGGGGAGAGTGGCTATTTCATTATAAAGCTGTCACTCACATGGGCAGCAGCCACCACGTAGTCTCTTCTGAGACGAAGCCTCTTTGGGGTTGTGTATGTGTATGCATTCGTTCATGTCTGTGCATCCTAGCATATGGTCATTTTGATGGGGGAGATTTGTGTGTGTGTGTGTGTGTGTGTGTGTGTAAGAAAATGTTGTGAGAGTTACAGTGTGACAGAGACGAATGTGACGCGCATGTCTCCCTCCCAACCAGGTGACAGGGGTGGGTCCCGGCTGAAGGTCAGACCTTGTCCTCCAGTGATAAACCAGCACTAAATATGTGTGCGTGTGTACATGCACCAGTGTGTTTGTCTATACACTGTGTGACCGAGAAAACGAGAAGAGAGAGAGAGAAAGGCAGGACAAGTTTTATTTTTATTTATTTATTTTTCCACACAAGCGACTTTGTGTATTAATAGCCGGCCCATTTGTATGCGTGTGTGTTCAAGTCTTTTATGTCCATGGATGTGCATGTGTCTGTTGCCTAGTGTGTGATGAGGTGTTTATATGATAAACACAAGGCAAGCTTGAGAGGAATTCTGATCAGGGGCTTTGCAACAGTTGTTATGGAAACAGCATTAAGCAGTTGTATTAGCCAGTGGAGGTAATATAAAGGCTGTTGAAAGTAACACACAGTGGGGAGCGAGGCAGTTTGGGAATATAATACAAACTACACATTATTGCTCTGGTTTACAATAGACTTGATGAAATTTTATTGTGTGGCTAGAACAGAACAAAATTATCCTTGTCGTAACTCAGTGTCTGGCTCTCTTACTGTTGAGAGCTACACATTTTAATTAGCCAGGTTAGAGGAACATAGTGCAAACAAGACATTATTGGTCTGGTTTACAATAGACTTCACATCATTTACGTCAGCTTAAAGCATAACACAAATGAGTCTGTATTCAGATCTCCCTCTGCAGCATTATCTTAAGTTTGGAGTCTTCAGAAAAGCAGCCACTGCTCAATGACATTGGTGATTTTAGAGGTCACTCAGGACTGTTTCAATATTACACACAGAGATGCTGGGAGATCGGTTCTGTCACACTTCTGTCAACAACTGTGGATAATGACATGCCCACAGGCACCTCTCATTTCTAATGGATTATTGATTATTGCAGTTAAAATGAAATTGTATGACAATATAGGTTTAGCATAAAATTGTCATTGTTGTACTTAATTTCCATGATGAGCCTTGTTTAAAAATAGACCATGATCAATAAAATGTGGGTTGAATGGATGGCAGAGATGGTACTCCAGATCAAAATTAAAACCAGAGAGAAGCCTGTAGTCTGCAAAAAAAAAGAAATAATAAAAAAAAACAGGAGGCAATTTTGGATAGAGTGTCTATCAATGTCAGGCACTGACAGGGTTGTTCTGGGAAGGAGAGAAGCGGTGGAGGTGCTCTGGAACAAATTACAGCATCAGCAGACCTCCCCTGGTAATGCTAATGCAGTTATTTCCCCCATATATGTATACAAGACTTACCCCGCTCAAGGAGAAGGGTAAAAACCGATTCTGTAGTTGAGAAGGACACTTCAGTTCGCTACCTCCTTGTACCGCCAAAATAAACTGTTCAATGCCAAATGATTTCTGTGGTGAGAACTAGCAGCAGCCTTCATTCGAGGCACTTCGAATGGATGTGACAGTTCCAGTTTACAGACAACTCTGTTTTCTCCAGATCTCTGTCGGGGTGATGCTCATCATTAGACTTCAAATGTGCGTGTACACACGCGCGCACACACACACACACACACACACACACACACACACACACACACACACACACACACACACACACACACACAGACCCTATAACGGAATCTCCCTGGGGAAAGCTCCTGGATAAGTCTGTTGCAGTGTAGGCGACCCCCCCACCCCCTTCCCCTACCTCCTCTGGAAATCTCCCTGAGGCCTGTGAGTGTGTGCATGTGAATGTGCTTGTGTGTGTGCATATGTGTGTGTCTGTCTGCTTTTCTGTACATGCCACCAGTTTCTCGGAGGGAGATGGTCTCAGTGATGCGTGAGTGGGAGGCTGATTTCCCCAACTGCATCGCTCGCTCCAATCTAACTTCCCACTCATGCTCTCTGCTTTGTTAGATATATCTTAAGTAACTCTCTCTCTCTCTCTCTCTCTCTTTCTCTCGCACACAGACAGACAGGAATAGGTTGTGTTGGGAAAAATGTGCATGTGTGTGTGTTTGTGTGTGTGCATTCAGCGTGGCCTGTCGTAATGTATTATTACGTAGACTCACACAGACATGCAGAACGTCTGGGTTTCTAGAGTAGATCTCTGGAGAAAGATGCTTGTCCCTGTCCCTGTCCCTGTGTCTGGCACAGCTAACACACACACACATATACACACACTCACAGTATTCCTAAAGGGTCACTGTGTCGCCAGGCATGCTCAAAGCGCTCCATCACTGGTTTCCACTGGGACAATAACTGTGACTTCCTGAGGATCGACCTTCAGCATCTCACTTCTGTCACTCTTCACATGGGCGTGTGTGTGTGTCTCTGTGTACTGGTTGAGGAAGTGAGCAGCAGTGTATGTGTCTGCAGTGTGTGTGTGTGTGTGTGTGTGTGCGTGTGTGGGTGTGTTTTAGAGTGTGTGTCAGGCTGCCGTTTCAGCTGACTCTTCTGTTTCTGGCTTTTTAATGGCTCTTATGGGGCAGGCCTTTAATTGCAAGTCTCTCTCCCTCCTTCTTAATCCTCCCATCCTTCTGTCTCTCCCAGCCCCTCGTCTCCTCTCTTCTTCTTCTCTCTCCTCCCGCCTCCCACTGGCTGACACTCACTAGGGGAGCCCGAGTGCCTGGCCGGGGCTGTGGAGGCCGTATAGGATATTGACTTGCTGCGGAGTGGTTTGGGAGGTGGAGAGGTGGCTGCCTGTCACAGCTAATGAATAGATGCATAAATGAATGAGGCACTCCTCTGTGTACGTGTGTGTGTGTGTGTGTGTGTGTGTGTGTGTGTGTGTGTGTGTGTGTGTGTGTGTGTGTGTGTGTGTGTGTGTGTGTGTGTGTGTGTGTGTGTGTGTTGTGCCTAGCTATGGCAAAAAATGTGCCTGTGTGTGTCCAACCTAAACTCGGCTCTGAGCAGTTTTATGAGCCAGACAGACATTAACAGTGGCCAGCTTGATAGTGATAATTATTAAGGGTGTGATGACAGTCCATCCCACACACACACAGACAGACAGACACACACACACACACACACACACACACACACACACACACACACACAGACAGACACGTGTGTGTGCGTGTGTATATATATATATATACATATATATATATATATATAAAGACACATATAAATGCCGGATGAGTTAGTGGGGGGTTGGGACGTGAGGATCGAATGAAGGATACTAAAAAAAACAATCCAGTTAAGTGCCAGCACCCCCCAGCTGCTCTCTCTTTTTGTCTCTCCCTGCCTTTCTTCCCCTCTCCCTCTCTGTCCCTCCATCTCCTCTGATCGGTGTGGTGCTGGAGTGCTCTCATGCCAAACTGGGACAAATACCTAAAAACACACGCACACACACACACACACACACACACACACACACACACACACACACACACACACACACACACACACAGAAAGAGACAGAGAGGAAGAGAGGGAGACAAGGTCTGGAGAGGAGACTGTTGATCTGAGGGGGTAGATGAAGGAGTGCTTGAGTGTTGATGTCTTCTTCACTATTGCTTTGTGCCACATTTCAAACACTGATTGCCTTAAGAGGACAATTTACATTTCATAGTCTTTCACAACAAGTGGGTGAGATGGGAGTCAGAGATAGGGGGAGAGAGAAAGATGTTTCAAGGAGGAAGCCAGGGGTGAGAGAGTTCACCGAGCAAAGGGAAAAAGTGGTGTTGCATGAGCGACTAAAAAATGGGAGGCATAAACAACAGTTTCTTTTGGCTGCAGCTCTGTGTGTCTCAGTCACTGTGCGTATGGACGTTTTGTTTTTGCTTACTCTCGGTAGAATGCACCTGTATGATTTGAACTTTCTTTTTCCGTATTGGACTCGTGTGAGTGTAGAAGAAGAATAGAAATAGAGAGGAGTGGAGAAGAGAGGAGAGCTGAGCTGAGGAGATGAAAAGAGAGCCGGAGGAATTAAGAATCAAGTTAGGAGCAAGCTTTATCTGACGGGAAACTGTGAAACTGCAAAGTACAAGAAAACTTTTCCTATCAGTGCACTCTCTCAGCTAGTGTATGGGTCTGCACTCCCGGTCTGTGAGTGTGTGTTTATATGTGTGTGTTTATGTGGCATGTGTGTATTTAGGAGATAGCTTTTCCTCCCCGGTGGAGGGAGACATCAGTGTGTCGGTGAGTGTGATTGGTTGTTGGCCCTGAGGGTCTGTCCTCTATATCTGTCTCCTGACTGGTTGCTCTGTGACCAATCAGGCGCCCAGACTGCACCGTGGCAATCAGATAGTGACTTACTCTCTGTGGGCATCGGCAGGTCATCTGGAAATACCTGTTATGTTTTATCTCCCTGTGACACACACACACACACACACACACACTCTCATGCACACACACCAATGTAACCTTTTCCTCTTGTCTTTGTCTCTCTAGGAGATTGCTGCATATCTCATCACTTTTGAGAAACATGATGAGTGGCTGACGACATCGCCAAAAACCAGGTGAGGAGAGCACAGACAATTGTTTCCACACACATACATACATACACATACATACACATATATACACATACAAGCACAGAATCACTCAATCAGCCAATGACTCACATTGGTTTAATCCCAAAGACGGAGTGCCTGTGTTTGATTAAAACATTAGTGATGTACGTCGACTGTCTCCGGAGGGTCCTGCTGACGGCCTGCGCTACATGTAGAGAACGCTCTAGAACATGGCTGGACTGTAAAGCACCTAGTCAGCTGAAAATGGAGTATTAATGAATGTAAATGTATTAGGATAAGTGATGTATAATTCAGACATAGGAGGGTGAAGGGGGGTTTAAAAGGAGGGGGAAAATGTGTATGTATATGATGGGGTGAGAACAGGGATTCACATGCCAGAACTGAATATTCATCGATCTCAAAGAACCATAGGTAGCTCTGTTCCAGAATGGGGAGAGGTTATTGCCAGGAAGAAAGGAAGGAAGGACGGAGAGGAAGAAAAAATGAAAGACAGAAGAAAAAAGGGCAATTTGAATTATTGATAAATCACCTTATTGACATTTACTTTAGTTAATACAAATGTAGGTATGATAAAAAAAGAAAAAGAAGAAAGAGGAAGAAAAGAAGTGAGAAAGACAAGAAAAGAAGAAAGAAAAAGTAAAGTAAAGCAAGTCAAGCGGTCACCTCATGCCCCCATTTCTGATTACTGACACTGCTGAAAGCCCGAGGTGATGCCTCCGTGCTCCCATTGTGCGAGCTGAAGGACTCTTCTCAGGAGCAGCCTGAGGCCAGCAGCACAGTTTATGTTGTGGATGGATTTCTCATTGATTGGTTGTGCTGCCGAATAGCCTCAGCCTCCCAGCAGCAACAGCAGCAGCAGTCATATTGGTGTTATTGAGCAGCAGTTAGATATAATCCCATTTACACATGACACGAGGCACGATTAGAACAGATTACACCTAATCCCATCAGATGGAAAGGAGCTCAGCGAACGGAGCCAGTGACATTTATGTGTATGCATTGATGTGCGTGTATGTGTGTGTTTGCATCCATATGTTGGCATGCATTTGCACACTTGTGGGGGGCAATATTAAGGTAACATTCAATGACCTTCATTTCTCCCCTTGCTGAAATACCTCATCAGTTCAAAGTAATGACTGTTACCTCCTCTCTCCCTCTTCTAACACTTTTCTCATCTACTCCTCCTTCTCTCCTCCCTTTACCGGACTCACTCACTCGCCCACTCTGTCTCTTTACCTTGCCGTCTTTTTTTTCCCCCCACTCTCCTCCCCTTGCCTTCTCTGTTTTCGCTCTGCTACACTGTGGAACGGTGGAAAAGCTTTTTATATCCCACACATCACAGCCCAGTTACAATCAATAGCATTTATGTCTGCTTGAATCGGAGGGTTTGCGAACATGGGCACCGTTCACATGCACGTACCTCCACACACACACACATGAACTTGCACGTATTTCCCACCCACACATACACACAGGCACACATCTGATCTCATCCATCTTCTCCATAACATAATTAGAATCAGCAGCTCTGAGATGACTCACACTGCTCGAGACAGAGAATAAACTCGGCTTTGATCGGAGGGAGGGGGTCTCCACTCCGCTAAGAAACTGGCAGGCTCACCCCAAAACAGAACAGATTTAAGGTGTCAAAGAAAATCAGCTCAAAGTAAATTCAATTTCACTACACACACTGTTCTGAGTAAATTGCAATCATCTCAGTCCATATAGATGTGTCTACATCAAATTTTAACAGAGGAGAGGAGAGGAGAGGCAAACAGACAATAAAAGAGCAAAAACAGAGGTTAGGATAGAAGTAGAAGGAACAGATGAAATGAGAAGATGAGAATAAGTTGAAAAGAGTGGAGAATGGAGGGACTGAAAAAGCAGTAAAGAGAAAATGAAGAGATAGTAAGATAAGAGGGATAAAGACTGGAGGTTGATGGAGACGAGGAGGTTAGGGTGAGGAGAGAGGAGGTGTGTAAATGTGTGGTGTGGTTGTGTGCTTGTGTGCACATGACTCTGTGTATGTGAGAGAGAAAGGGCACTTGTGAGTATGTGTTAGTTTATTGATTGTTAACGGGCCTGTTCTCTCTCTGTTGTCATGAGATAAGGCAGAGAAGCATTTTTCCTCCACCTACACACACACACACACACATACACACGCACACACACACACCTGTCCTTAACGTTTTAGAAGTGTAATGATTGATTGCCGAGCAGCAGGTTTGACATTGAACCCAAAGAACACACGGCTGTAGGTCCTGCCATCTCTGATATTACTATAGCATCTGTGTCTTTCTACATGTATGGCTCCTAGTGTGTGTCTGTGTGTTTGTGTGTGTGCATGCATGTTCATCCCGCCAGGTGTATATAGAATGGGAGCTTAGAGGCCAATGTTCCTGCTGTGCTGATAAATCACCCTACTAAAATATTAACACATAGTAGTGTGAGTCCATGTATGAGAGGGGAGGGGGGGTGCATGGGACCACCTAACTTGCCTATTGGAGAGTAACACTGACATCACCATGTAAACCATGAACATGTTCTTGCCTGTTTCAGTTGATTGTTGTTATGAATAGGCAATGTAGGAGAATTTTGATACTTTTTGCAGTGTGATATTACAGCCTGAAAATCATTTCTGGTCAGTTTCCATGGAGCTCAATTGCTGTCAGTTTCAACGAAATGACCACAACATTTATTCTGTATAATCAACATGATGGAACGCTGTGTGTTCGTCTGTCTCTTTACCCTGTCCTCCACCAGGCCTCAAAATGGCTCTATGATCCTCTACAACCGTAAGAAGGTGAAGTACAGGAAAGATGGCTACTGCTGGAAGAAAAGGAAAGACGGGAAGACCACCCGAGAAGATCATATGAAGCTCAAAGTGCAGGGAGTAGAGGTGAGAGGCTGCAGGGGAAAAACAAGTCCATGATTGTTTGGCGCTGAGTATGGTTTCACTGCCAATCTTGTCCTTAACTTACTCTCCTTCACTCCGAGGAGACACATACATGTTACACAAATGTACGCACAAACACACATGCTGAGAAGCTACAGGCCAATATGTTACCGGAGAGCGAGTGATGTCCCTCTTTTTCTCCCTCCCCGCTCCTCTTTCTGTCTCCCTCTCTCTCTCGCTCTCCACCTCCCTCTCTCTCTTTCTGAAAGATAAGAGTGTGTTTGGCCTGAGGCCAGGAATGATGTCAATGCCTCCTTCAGCAGAACAGAGAGGGGTATCGATCCAGTCTCAAGGCAGCGTCTGTGTGTGAGTGAGTGTGTGTGTGTGTGTGTGTGTGTGTGTGTGTGTGTGTGTGTGTGTGTGTGTGTGTGTGTGTGTGTGAGTGCGTATGTGTGTGTGTGCGCGTGTGTGTGTGTGAGTCACATCAGCCAGCTCAAAAATTGATTATTCAGCAGGAATATACCAAGAGGTGAGAGGAGTGAGCATGCATGTGTCAGAAACAGAAAGAATGAGGTAGAAGGGAGAGGGAAGGAGAGACAGTTAGGAGACACATGGATGTTTACAGGGGGCTCAGTAGTTTTGTGTTGAAGGTGAGCAGGAGACAGGCAAGACACAAGACAAAGACACAGAGGTAAGGGGAATAATTGAGATCAAATATTCCCATCTGCACCTCCATTAGTTATGGCCCCACACTCACATTGACATTCATCGCACATACATTTTTTTGCCTTCCTACATGAACACTCACATACACACACAAACATATACAAAGGCAAGTGTTTCTCTCCCTGGTAGTTGCTCAGTAATTGTTTGTGTCACCTCTTCCCAGGACTCCCCCAAGCAAGCAAGCAAGCAGCGTGTAGAGCAGGGGACGGGAATGAGGGAATGAGCAGAGCAGCGAGATGAGCAGAGGGAGAGAAGGAGGATGGGGAGAGGCAGGAAGCTGGAGAGAAAAACATAACCCTGGATGGAGAGCCTCCTCATATCGAATGGAAATATATGGAAATGCACTCTGCCTTTGGCAAAACACACTTTAGATAGAGGGCGGGCTACTTCTCAGAAGAGGCAAAATGGCGAGAAAATATAAGTGTGCGCAAGTGTGTATGAGAAAGAAAACAGGACAAGTTTTAAGTGTTGATTATATACAACCTGATTGCTGAGTATTTGTGTTTGTGTGTGCATTGTGTTCTTTAAAAAACAACCAATTTATATGTGTGCATGTGTATATTGGTAGGTGAATGTGTGTGTGATTCTTGTATTTAGTGCATGTAAAAAAGTGGCTGTGATGACCTTGATAGAAGATTTCTCTGTCATCATTTCATCCTTCCAACACACTCTTCCTTAGGACTGGGTATCGAACCTCAATACTTTTGGAGTATTGATCAAGATGTTTCCGCAGCACAGAATTTCAAATGCTTTCAAGAAACTGGAACCTGACTCTGAACCTCTTCTTCACTTATTCTTTAATCAGATATTTACTGATTCACATGCTAATTTAATTAATTTTAGACTATTGCATTCAGTCAAAGCTCTTGCTTTGGGAAGGTTGTTAATTTGTTAAAACAAAAGAGGTTATTTAGCATAACATTTTTAATATTCTTCAGACTATGATGCAAATAAAAAAATTTGGTTTTGGTATTAGTTCAGAAACTCAAGTCCTGTACTGGCACCAGTATTGGGACATTTCATATACTGACGACACTTCATAACAAACTAATTATTGCAGACACTCTGAAGTGGTACTGTGTTGTGTATCAACCTCTGCAAGCATATTTGGCCGATTTTCACACCCACACACATGTATATATTATTTTGTAATGTCTCTCCATCTTGTCCACCATGACACTCCACTTTCACCCGATGCTTTCCTCACTTTCTCCTCCTCTTCTTTGTCCTCGTCACTGCTACTGATACCTCTTGCAGTGTCTGTAAGCTGACAACATTGTGACGTTTTGTGAATTCCAAGTGGGTTATGTCTAGTCTTGCTGAGGCAGTAAATTTCACAATCTCTTGTGCTGTAATTGTCAACATCAGATTTATGGTATTTTAGAAAAAGACATTTGGGAAAAAAAACACATACAGCATGTTTGCAATTTAGTTTTAGCACCGCAATCAATACAACCTAAGTGGGTATAACCTAAGTTCTCCTCTTCTGTTCTCTCCTTCACTGTTCTCTCCTCCTCTTCTCCTTTTTCACTTTTTGTCTTGCTTCCTCCTCGCTTTATCCCTGCAATCTCTCCTCTCCTCTCCTCTCCTCTCCTCTCCTCTCCTCTCCTCTCTCTAGTGTCTGTATGGCTGCTACGTCCACTCCTCCATCATCCCCACCTTCCATCGTAGATGCTATTGGCTGCTGCAGGTAAGCCCACCCCCCTACCCCACCTGACCTTTTCTCACACATTTATACACATACAAAACAAGATTTCCGCAGGATTTATAGTGTGGTGATAATTTGTTAGTCGCTGTCATTTATAGCAGGATAGTTTTTCAGGCCTTCTCCCTGATATTATGGCCATTCTGTAACATTTATTGTTGCTATGTTAAGGCTTTATTCACCATTCTACACAAAACTGGACAACCAGAAAATATACAGTCTATTATTACACTTTTTACACAAACCTTCATCTGTTAAACTGCCCATTATATTTTCAAAACAACACTAAGCTAAACCATAAACCAGCAATAAACATCCTCCTCTTCTGAATTAATGAGGCAGACTATACTGAAAATACTATCACAAAGCTGGGCTCATAATAAAACTTGATGTTGTTTGGCTGAGCGGAGTGTCCTACACTCAAATGACTCAACGACCAGAATATACCTAGAATATGCTCTTGTCCAATGCTAACATACAGTGCAGAGCAGTGAAAGCATTTCTTTGCCAGAAGTTGACTGTAACTTCCCGAGCACAGTGTGTTATCTAACCCTGACTCCCAATACTTATAGTGAGCATCAAGGACTGAGGCCCTGCTCTCTATGTGGTCCTCTCCAAGAAAACACCCTGGAGCTACAAAAAGCACACAACATGCTCACCCAAACACACACACACACACACATATGCACAGGTGTCCCCCTGTGTATTAAGGCATGTTGTTTTTCATAGAGATGTTGGACTCACTCTACCGCTCATGTGAAAGACAACAGAGAGCAGCAGACGCACGCTTTCACACACACACACACACACACACATACACACACACACACACGTCTCTCCCTCTATTGACCATGCAAGCTATGGTCACTAGGACGTCATCATCTTCAGGCGGCAGGTTACATGATGAATCTTAAACATGTCCGCATACATTTACACTGCCTCTCTCTTCATCTCTCTCTGTTCATTTCAAAGAAAATATTGAATACCCAGCAACGTTCATTTAAAATATGGAAATGCATATATATTTATGTATTCTTCACCAGAATTTCCTGCATAAATTGTCACAAGAAATTTACAGGGACATTCCAGCCACCGGCTGTAAATTGAATATGCCCTTACTCAATTTTTTTTTTCAGCATCCCGAACTAGTAAGATCCCTGCAGTCTGAAATTATGAAGGGAAATTTTTAGTTGCTTTATCTGTAATGTGCCATTTTCTGCTCTTTGCACAGATATCAGAACACATCAGTGATTATGATCATAAATCAGTCTGTGAGTGCTGTTGCATTGCACAGTGTGGTGCTGTAGCAGCCCACTGTGCCATCCTCTTTTGGAGAGAAAAGTGTTCCACCTCAGCAGGTCCTCCCCCTCACCTGAGTCTGTCTACTGAATCTTTCATCAAGAGGAGCTTCTCCCTCCCTCTCTCTCTCTCTCTCGCGCTCTCTCTCTCTCTCTCCCTCACACAATCACACACACACATGCACACATACTCACTCACTCACACACATGAATGTGAATGCACTTGTTGAATCATTCATGGGGTAGAAAGAAATTCCATAGGTTTGCTTTTGCCCTACTGTATAGTGAGAACTACTCTGAACTGTTGTCCCCCCCTTTGTTTATCTCATTCTTTCTATCTCTCTATATATTACACACACTCACCTACACACAAACACACATGTAGACACTTCCTCAGCCTCTGCAGGGTAAGAAAGAGTGATGAGTGGGCTTGAGCTGTTAAATCTTTTATGGGCAGGTGAGAGAATCTTATCTGACACGCTATGTCCGACCTCCTCCCTGACCTCCACTTGCTCTCCCGCTTTCCTTCTGCATTTCCCCTCCATCCACTCCCTCTGTAAATAGACTCTATCATTGTAATCTCTCCCTCCCTATATGTTGTAAGAACATGACAATGAATTAATGAATAAAGGGCCATGTTAAACTAACGCCAGGTGCATGCATGTCTGTGTGGTTGTGTTTGTGTCCCTGTGCTGTAGAACCCAGACATTGTGCTGGTGCACTACCTGAATGTACCGGCAGTGGATGATAGCGGGAAGCCATGTGGTCCTGTCCTCTGCTCCATCAACACAGACAGGAAGGAGTGGGCCAAGTGGAGCAAGGAGGAGCTCATTGGACAACTCAAACCCATGTGTGAGTTAGCTTTACTTTCATTTCAGCACTCACCTCCCTCCTACTCTCAAGCTCTCTTGTTTCAGCCCTCACACTTGTCCTAAACCCAGGGATATGAGTCACCTTGGGTCAATAACAATACCACTTGTCATGGTACAGTAGTGATGAAAAAGATAAAGGCATACTCTTCCCAAGCTTCAAAATTAATCTGTAGGAAGTGTAATAAATCTAAAACACAGATAATTTGATAATATTTTTCAGGCTTTATAAACAACTTGGCAGCAGAATGAGGAACAGTCTGGAGCTGTGCCATCATTTATTAGATGAGACAACAGGTGCTTACAACAATTCAGGGGAGATGATATGAAAATTTCTCTCTTGCATGAAATAAAAATATCTAATCTTATCTTATTATTGCTGAAGGTAAAGATAAATCAACAGGCCAAAAAGCAGCAGCTGGAATTGCCAAAAGGTGTATTCAGACATTAACAATAGCCTTATTCTTATTTAAATTTTGATTAAACATTATTTGGAGCATCATGTCCTTCCTGTCAACATGAAATGATGACAGCACTTTACAAAGTAGTGATCAACTTCAAGATAACATTGTTCTTTCAAAAGCCTCCTTTTTGAAGAGACATTGAGTACATATATACCATTCAGCCAGGCTTCATACAGATTTGGCGATTTTTTTTTTTGATGATTCGAACAGTCAGCGGCATGCTGCCACCTAGAGGTGGATACATTTTACATCCAAGAGAGGGAGGGATAGAGGGAAGGAAGACGGAGGTGCCCAAAATATCCAGCATGTATTATTCATAAATGAGCATCAGGGAGTAGATAACTCCAGTACACACACTAACACACATACACACGCACACTTACCTAATCTCACCTGTCTTGATCTGGTTTGGAAGGGCAAATAAGGACAGCTCCCAAAAAGTGAGGGGATTGTTGACTTAAGTACTACTTCAATTCTCACTCTGCTGACTAAATCATATTCCCTCTTGCTCTTTCTACCTGCCCTAATTTGCTTACACAAAATAGCTTTCTGTTTTTTCCTTTCCTTGCTCTTCTCTCTTGATCACTGACATGATTCCTCTAAATTTTCGAAACTGGCACTACCTTCAAATGTTAAAATTTCATGTGTTGTAGAAGCAGCAAATTGTCCTTTTTACATATATTTATTTAAAATGATTGAACACTCATGCATCTGTAACAGTATCACAGTATTCATGAACTCTGAACACTGGAGGGCGCTATTACACACTATACATTGCTTAAAAGATTAACCTGAGCAACTGAAAGGACAGAAAATGACAACAGTATCTATTGTCTTAATGGTTTTCCTTTGCTTTGACGTCCCTTCATTCAGGTGCTGGAAGCAGCTTGCATCAAAAATGTTCCAGTGTCAAGCAGCGCATCATCTCATCCAAGCAGGAGTCAGGGGCAGCAGCAGGAGGTGGAGCTGCAGCGGGTACCGGTGTAGCGGCAGGCCAGAGAGCTGAGGAAGCAGATGGCACAGAGGTCCAGAACAGTGATGTGTCAGAGGGCCAGACAGAACCCAGTCCTGGAGGGGGCAGGAGCAGAGCGGGTGGAGGAGAGAGGAGGAATGGCAGGTTAACCAAACCCTCTTTACTCCCACAGAGCAGCATGGAGGTGTCCTCCTCCACTTCCACCAACCAGGTGGAGGTCCCTGACACCACCCAGAGCTCCCCATTGTCAATCACCAGTGACATGGCTGACAGCCCCGCTCTCGCCATTGGGGCTGGCTTGTCGCAGAGCACAGCTGTATTCATGTCTGAGGTCACCACGCTGACTGGAGATTCGGTTTACTCTGCTGGCCACACCCACCTGTTGGCATCCACCCATGAGAGTACCACCGCTGGAATCCTGTTGGCTGTTGCCCCTGAAAACCAGAGGTTTGCGTCGTTTCCTGGTGGGGTAGGCTTAGGGGAGGGAGGAGAGTTGGTTCTGTCCAGCTCTTTAGACTCCAGTGGAGGTGTCAGCCTTCCTGAAACCACCATGACCTTTGACCCTGATTGCTTCCTCAACAATCCCAAGCAGGGCCAGACGTATGGAGGAGGTGGAGGGAAGACTGAGGGGTGTAATGGTGATGATGGAGGGCTCCACTGTTCTTCTAATGGCTTTGTCTACAACCCAGCCCTCGTCAACAACATCAAGACGGAAACGACTCCCCTGGAGCAGCCGCTGGCCACTCAGAGCAGCTATGTGGGAGAGGGGACAGGCCTTAGCCCCAGCACCACCCTGGAGCAAATGGACTTCAGTGCTGTCATGTCATCAGCCTGTGTCCCAAGTCTGAGTCAGACTGCACACCACCCCTCCCCGAGCCTCTTCCTCCAGGCCTCCCCCCAGACAAACCAGCCCTCCCAACTGCAGACCAATGGTACTGAGGCAAGCCAGGAATCAGGTGAGGCCCAAGCTTACATAGGTCTGCCTACGGTGCCAACAGACTCTCCGGTCACCAATGGAGATCCACATACACACCTCCACCAAGCCAGCCCAGACCAGCAGGCCCTGTGTGGAAGGAATGGACAAGGAGCAGCAGTGGGATCTTTTCCCCTGACAACACAGGATACTACCGTTGACCAGTCAGGCAGCAGGGGACATCGAGAGGTGGGGGGCTTGGACAAGGCTTCTGAGAATGGAGGAGAGTTACTACTCAAGCCAGGAGATCCTCATGAGGGCTACGCGAGTGTGGACACCGAGCACTACCTGCAACCCACAGATGACAATGGAGGAGGAGAGGAGGGTGGAGGAGGTGGTGGTGGAGGAGGTGGAGGGGGAGGGGAAAATGAGATTCTCTGTAATGGTGTAAGCTTGCCAGGGGCCAGCAGTTCAGTGGTGGCCAGTCCTCAGTCGATAGCTGCTGGTGCAAGCATCGAGGGGGCTCTCTACAGCTCTCCTCTTCCTCAGCAAGGTGGGGGCGTGTCAGCTACAACAGCTGGGGCAGGAGCAGCCATCAGTCTGGAAGGTTTTGAGGCTTCATTTGGAAGCCAGTTCTCTGATCTCATCAATGATTTCATCTCAGTTGAGGGGTCTGGGGGTGGTGTGGGAGCAGCTGTCACTGGGGTTCTGATGCCCCAGGAGGGGGCAGCAGGAGAGGAGCAGGGCACAGGAGCAGGCCACCTGCAGGGCTCAGAGGTGGAGCAGGGAGCTCTGGGACTGCTCCAGGAGACTGGGAGGCTGTTTGGTGTGACAGACTACTCCCCAGAGTGGTCTTATCCAGAGGTTAGTAAACCCAACATGATTATCATTCATTATTTATTCATGGTACCCTACAGTAAAATCAGTCCCTCCACCACATGATTGACGGTTGCTTGTACTGATGTTAAACACTGAAATCATGTTCAGCACAATTTGTGCTAAGACCGCCAGCCTGGCTGTGTGGTCATTAAGGAGTCAGAATATCTCAGACTCAGCTGATTGGATTTTGATGAAATTTCAATATTACACTGCTTCCCCTGGGTGACTTCATTAATGTACCCATGTACCACTTATAATATCTCAGACACCAGTTCTGTCATTGAATTATGATGAAACTTGTGGAAACATAGCATCTTAGCACCATTAGTTACGGAAAAAACAATAACTTGCAACAGTTAGTACAATTAGTGGAAAAAATTGTCGAAAAGAATTTTAACAACTAACCGTATCTCCAACGTGTGCACATATTCAGCTAATATTTTTCTTCAGCTTTCTTCCAGGATCATCAGTGTTACATCATCCTGATTATTCCATAGTTTTGCGTTTCTTGAAAAAACAACACAGCTCAAAGGGTGATTGTATAATTTTTAGAATGAGCTAAAAATGAGCACTATAAATGCCAAAAAGAAACGTCTACCAAATGCTGATAAATGGCTTTGAAAATTGAATCTTTTTCATTGTTGTGTGATCTAACTTCATGATTCCAGCATTTGTGGGAGACAATTTGTTGTTATTATTATGTATTATTTTTAGCTACACTAAAGAGAGCACGTGGCAGTGTTGTTCAGATGGCTCATACAACTTTGTTCCACTTGGATGTAAGGAGCTGCACAGCCTCTAGGGGCTGCTGCCAGGCCTTTTAGTCTCACAAATTTGTCATTAACAAAATAGTAATTACTTTGTAAATGAGGCAGGTTATACTATCTCTCAGTTTAGATTTATATAATAGAAAACAAAAGGTTCCAGTTTTAGGCCACTGTGTCTCTGAGGTATTTTTTAGTGATAGATGGAATCAGGATATTTAATAGAAACACCTTTCATGTAAACACATATTCGCTTACACATGCGCCCATATCTTTACAGATTTGGGGTATTTTGGAGCAGTTAATCTTAGACAACAGGATATGGCAGTTTTCACACAGTCATGTCATTCTCACACAGACTCTTGTATCTCTTTGTAGACTACTGTATGTTTACACTTACGCGCAGTTGCAGTTTTCTGCAGACAAAGAAGCTACACTGTGTGATATAATACTGAAGCCTGTATTTGTGTGCGGCAGGGTGGAGTGAAGGTGCTGATCACAGGGCCGTGGTTGGAGTCGAGCAGTGAGTACAGCTGTCTCTTTGACCACATCAGTGTCCCTGCTGCCCTCATCCAGCCTGGGGTGCTGCGCTGCTACTGCCCAGGTATCACACTGGTGTATGCACTCACTCTAACACAACTCACTCTCCTTATTACTGTCTAATACATGGAAAAACACTATTCTTTGTTTTTAAATCTAAACCTTAACCTCATTAACCCCTATAAGAAGCATTTTCTAGCAAAAAAGTTTTTCCCCAGCACACAGAGATAGAGTCTAATGATGTCGGCTGCACACCCTTATTGCGAGATGCAGTCATTTTTATACAAAAAGATAAGAACAACACAATAAGAGCATTGTGAGGAGGGACACTGTTTGGAAATCACACAATGTACACAGTGCTTAGAAATGGTTCTTTGGCTGGTATAGTAGGTCATATCCTGCTACATTAAGTGTGATCAGGAGAAAACTGTTAGGCAAATAGTCTCTTGCAGCCACACATGGGCAAAAGTAACACTAGACAGTCACAGTCTATAATAGTTACCATACTGTCCTAAAATTATTCTTTGAGAGGAGATCTATCGCCACATATAGTCAGCCATACTTATGCCTTACCTCATGTCTGTTTCCAGCCCATGACACAGGACTGGTGATGCTACAGGTAGCTATGGGTGGTGAAGTCATCTCTTCCTCCGTGGTGTTTGAATACAAGGCGCGTGACCTTCCTGCCCTGCCATCTTCTCAGCATGACTGGCTGTCCCTGGATGGTGAGAGCATTTGTTTGTGTATTTTTAGGGAGGGATGCACAGTTACACTCTTACAGTCTGGTGTTATTTATTCAATAAAGAGCATAAACCATAAACAGAAGGAGACTTGAGCATAACAGCTTCATTGTGTGCCTAGAGTGTTGCATGTATCAGTAACAAACACAGCATAGTGTAGCGTGTGTTTTTTAACATGCACTTGCCTGTTATATTTGGACTAAGGAAAGTTAAACCTCCAATCCTATACCCTTCTCTCATTCTTTGTTTTTAGTATGACTTTTACACCTAGCTAGCTTTGCCATTTCTGATCAGCTAAAACTATGAGAAAACCTGTTGTTCATGTATGTGTGTGTGTGTGTGTGTGTGTGTGTGTGTGTGTGTGTGTGTGTGTGTGTGTGTGTGGCTGTCATTGTGCTGCTCTTTTCTGTTGGATGCTCTGTCATGCTGTGAGGTGTTTTGTCTACAGCCACTGATGTACTGACCAGTATGGTGACATTGCTGCTGCTGTTTGGCTGAACTGAGTTCTTCTGTGCCTGCAAGCATCTTTTTTTTCTGTTATGGCTCTCTGTCTGTGTGCAGATTGATTCAAGAAGGAATCTAAGCTACTGAGCTGTTTTGACACCTGTTCTTTGGAAGGTGTTAGTGTTGAGCCAAGATTCATCACAGCTTTAGGATTAGTCTTTGTGAGATTTTTTTAGGGCACAGTCATTTATTAAGTCCATAGTGATGGTTTGCATGTTGGGGGGCTCAGGATTATTTTGTTTGAGCTGCAGATGTTGATATTGTGATTGTTCATTAATATTGAAACAAATTAAAACTTGCTTCAATTAAACAATTAAATGTCCTTTGAGTCAGCTTTGGGAATTGGTTGCAAATGTCTGCACAGCACTAGGGGGGTTAGTTTCTCTGTGCAAATATAACTCCTGATGCAGCTGCAGCTCGGAAACACACGGGTCTCCTCAGCGAGGCATGTCCTGGGTTACTCTGTTCGCCCCCGTCTCTGTGTTGCGCAATGCGGCAATGCGGCTCTACAGTCACAGCAGGCTGGCTGTTTACTGGAGTGAAGGGCAAGGACATCATAACACAGTCGCCGGTCCATTTGAGAGTCAGAACGTGGGCCACCACCGGCAGTGTGCTGTGTAGCCTCATAGACGCTATATATGAGCTCAGCCTTTGACTTTGAGCGGTGATAGCGAGAGTTGGATGGGCGCTCTGCCTATTTTTGCTCAGGTCCTTTGTTTGGCCTCAAATACACAATCGAAGGCTCAGTGCCTGCAGAAAATAGATAGAGATGCATATTTTAAGTAAATACGCGTCAGCACACGGCTTTGCCACATGCCATTGCTCCAGTTTAGTTTGTGTGCAGTCTATTGTTGTGCCGATGACGACCGAGCCCCCTGCAGCTCTGAGTCTGGCGGGCGGATTTGAAGCGCTGCTCTCCCAGACACAACGTGGAGACTGCTCTCTCTCTCTCTCTTTCTCTCTCTTTCTCTCTCTCGCTCTCTCTCTCTCTCTCTCTCTCTCTCTCTCTCTCTCTCTCTCTCTCTCTCTCTCTCTCTCTCTCTCTCTCTCTCTCTCTCTCTCTCTGCACTTAGTTGTGTTTTGCTCGTTCGGAGTAGCAATGTGTGAGTCGCACACTTCAAACTAACGGGGTTGAACAGAAGCGGGAACAAAGAGAGCAGCAGATAGAGACTCGCTGTTTGGGTTCGTAGCTTGTTTGATTTTTAAACTGATAACTTCAATACGCGCTCTTTTATTCTGCGTCCAGGTCTGTGTTGTTTGTAGCTGAGTTAAGTTTTCTTTGTCATCCTGCTGTAGACTTACATAAACGTGCCTGTTGTCTAAATGATGTGTTTAAGCGTTACGCTCCTTTTTTGCATTCAAGGATTCAGTCAAAAATATTTGTAGCACATGTGGCGCTCGGCCGCTGTAGATTTCAGACAAAGGGACGTAGAAAAGCCACAAGTCCACACGCTATTTGCACGTTACATGTTTGGACTAAAAGGCACGCCATAGCCTGCTTGATTTTTGTTGCAGACCTGATGATCAGCCGACAGTGTGTTCAGCGTCTTTGGTTGACCTGTGCAGTTTCAGCACCAGCACGAGTGGAAAGCGCCACTGAAGTCCATAACAACAAATGCAGGGAGGCTAATGTGGCTCCTGTATAGGCCCAGATAATAACAGGCCTGTAGGCATAGACATGTGGGCATGTTGTTGATCACCCACAGCTTGAATGCAGAGATACTTTGCTTAGTAGAGGTTTACAGGTTTTTTTAGATGTTCATGATTTCTAGCCTACTGAAAGTTTCTCTAAATGGACCCCATGCCAAAAGTATATTTATCTTATTAATTATTTTCAATTAATTTGACAGAAAAAAATCTGCATCTGCAAATTTGTTTGCATTAATGGGTTTGTGAACTTGAATATATATATACTGGGTCTGGGATTTTAACTCTTGTATTAAACCTACACTGTAGGTGTACCAAAATGTAAACTGATTTTACATCTATGATTTTCATCAATGCTTTGGTAAACATTTAATAGAAAATAGAAAGGTGCAGTCATATGTTATCAGAATTTGTAGATGTCACTTCAAACTGTAAGGGCCTGTGCAGAGGTTTATTTATTGGAGAGTAATCCATGGAAACAAAGTGTTGTTGGAGAAAAAACCTGCAATAGAACAGAAGAACTGTCACAAAAGAGTCCAAAGCTGGTCAGTAAATGCACAAGTATCCAGTACAGCTGATAGTAATCATAAAGCAAACTTTGAAAAGCAGTTGATTTTGCACTCAGGAGCAGGACAATAAATGATCAGTAATCCAAGGAGGCACAGCCTTTATAGAAGCTGTGGTGTGTCACCAGAATACTGCAGGTTTCACTGGTCAACAATAATCTATTTACTTAATTAATACACTCAAAAACAATTAATAAAATGGGCTAATTTCTTAAATTTGCATTTAGATTATGTGGTTAGAAACCTTTATTAAAAAATAATTGCATTCAATTGACATATTAATAAATTCTTTAATTTGTTTTAATGAATTCTAAAAATGACTTCTAAAGAAGGAGTTTCCTGTGTTGCCTCTCTCAATGTGTTCCACATCCTTCATAACATGAGCTGAGCAGCATCTACACTGAAGTGACATGTAAGTCAGATAGTCATGAATTTTGAAATGGAAATGATTCGACAATGCAGTTTAAAAAAAATTGAAAACCAGTTTGAAAGACATTTTACAGTTATTTTTCAAATTCAGTAATTAACTTTTCAATTAGGGAGGCTAATTAAAAGACTACTTCATCCCTTTGTAATTGTTGAATTTCAATTAGTGTTTGTCAACTTTGTATTGTGTCCATTAATGAAGTTATTAAAATTAATCACAGTCAATCCTCATTTTCTTTTATTGTTCTCTAAGCAATATGTGCTTGTTATGTGACAAGAAATTGAATCTAACTTTTGCTTTTCATGGATGTATGTGTGTGCTTAGGCATCTGTCTGGATGTCTGTTTGTATTTGTAATGAGTGAAGACAGCTGTTTCTTATGTGTATGGCAGCTAAAATAGTGGAGTGTTTTGCTTTGTATTCAGATGAGCTGTATTACTGGAAAACTCCACTCCCCTTCTGATTGGCGGAGTGGAAAGGGAGGAGCCTTAGCCTTTGTGTCACTGTCATGGCTCCACCCTTTCAGCTCAGTTTGTCCGCTGCAGACAACAGAAAGAAAAATAGGAGTGAAATGAGAGGAGGGAAAAATAGAGAGACTGAGTGAGAGAGCAGCAGGTGGGGTGACATAATGTGCACTGCAGCAAAACTGCAGCAGCACTGAAACAAAGGGTCACATTCACATACAACCATGCCACGGACATACAAAACTTACATTTGTTGTAAGCTGTATACTCTTTCACACACACACTCACACACACACACACACACACACTGACAAACACATAAAATTTCCTTGGTTCACCAGTTGCCCTTGTTGGTAAGGGGATTTATTGGATTCCAGCCCTGATTTATTCTCCAGTATTGAGCCCCTCAGTGAAGAGCTTCTTTCTCTAAGCTTCTCTAAGTAGGATTTACTAAAACATAATATTGATTTGCTTAAATACAACTAACAACTAGGCGATGCTTACAGCTCTGTGTGTCCCACCTTCATTTCTGTAGATACCCAGTTCAGGATGTCTATCTTGGAGCGTCTGGAGCAGATGGAACAGAGGATGGCTGAGATAACCAATCAGAACCCCAGCTCAGAAACCATGGCAACCAAGGGCGGAGGAGTCGAGGGAGGAGGAGCCACTGAGCAGCAGTCTCAAGTAAGGCAGGAAGAAGTGATTTAGTTAGGATGAAATTTTCCTTTTCAGCTATGCAATCTGAAACAGTATCGAGTGAGAAATAAAGGCAAACAGCATGAAACAAAATAGAATTGGTTTTAATTATGAAAAGCAAGTCTATAAAACTGTATTTAAGCTATTGAGATAACATTTGAAGACTTTATGATAATAGTCTAATAATTTGAACACCCACAGAGACTCACCTACAGTAGTTAAAGTTTTGTAAAGAAATAACCATAAAGACCTTACAGCAGTTTATTGTGTAACAACAAAACCTGTAGAACATAATGCAATCAAGTACAAAAGCACCACCAAGGACCAGTTTATCCTATGCTAAAGGAGTTAAGACAGGAAGCACTGAAGCTCCTTTCCTCTGCATTTAGAGAATTCGACCAGCTCTTATCATGGCTGACACTTAGATTCTTCGGAGTCATTTCACTTCAGTTAGGAACCTTCCTAAGCAAAAAAAAAAAAAAAAACAACCACCACCTGTATCTTGGTAAAATTAAGTTTTGTAACACCTAACAACTTGAAATAAGGGTTGAAAAAGCAAGAGGATGCAGTAAAAGTCTTAAGAGGTCTCCAAAGATTTATATTTTGAACTCACTATGCCCTCTTCCTCTCCAACCTTCCAGATTCCTCCTGATCAGGGTTCATTCGAGGGTCGCGTGGTGGTAGTATGTGAGAAGATGATGTCTCAGCCATGCTGGGCGTCTTCTAATCAGCTCGTACACAGTAAGAACTCCAGAGGAATGACCTTACTGCATCTGGCTGCAGCTCAGGGCTACGCAGGGCTCATTCAGACACTCATTCGCTGGCGGTGAGTAACACACAAACATGACACAGTCTGTGCATTCACAATGGTGTGTCATTTAATGTCACTTTTGTTGCCTTCCTCTGCAGCACAAAGCATGCTGACAGTATTGACCTCGAACTGGAGGTTGATCCTCTCAATGTAGACCACTTCTCCTGCACTCCACTGGTGAGTGATTGATATTTTTTGAATGATGTTTTAAGTGTATGTGTCTTTTTTTCCATGCCTGTGTGTGACTTGTGTTTTCTTTTGGTCTCTCGAGATGTGGGCTTGTGCTTTGGGCCATACTGAGGCAGCACTGGTGCTTTACCAGTGGGATCCAAGAGCTCTGGCTATTCCTGATTCGTTGGGACGCTTGCCGCTCAACATTGCTCGATCCAGGGGCCACACTAGATTGGCTGAGCTGTTAGAGCACCTACAACAGACTCCTCAAGCTCAGGGTCAGCCTGCTGACACTTGGATGGAAAGGTGGAGAGGAGAGTCACAGACCAGCGGAATAAGCAACAACCCCACTCCAAACCCTAACTCAGGTGGGAAAATTTAATACAAATGTCTGATAGGATAAAATGATGAAGTGATGATATATTATATGCAAAAGGTCAAATAATATAATATATAATTTTCTGTATGTATGTATATCTGGCCATTATTCAATGCTAGAACTCTGGAAAGGGAGATTGTGATCTTATTTCATGAGGTGATTTCAGGCATACAGCTGCAAGGAAGTGATTCTGGTTTGTTTTGTTTTGAGTCAGCTGAGCCTCTAATAAGTTGCCATGTCCAGTTTAGTAGGAATGCATGTTGTCATTATTAGACTTGCTCTTATTTTTCCATCATCTTTGTTTCCCCAGAGCTGAGGAGAGCCAGGACAGAGAGCCAGCCAGACAACCAGAACCAGAGCTGGAGCCAAACAGGACACAGAGCCCCACAGGGAACCCAGGGAGAACAGGGAGGCCCACCCCCAGCCAAGAGACTCAAACCCAGCCCAGACACCCAGCAACAGCTAGCTAACTCAACCCCCAGCACCAACACCCTCAACTCCTCCCTTAACACCTCCCTAAGTCCCAACCTCCCCAACACCCCACAAACTCAACCCTCCAACCTCAGCTGTCAGAACGCACCTCCTGCCAGCTCCAGCCCTAACCAGCCTCAGCTCCCCAGCACCCCATTCTCCCTCCTGCAGGCCAGGATAGGGGGGTCTGGAGGGGGCACCAGGTGGAGTCTGAGACAGACTCTGGGGCAATGTAGCCTGGCCAGGAGGATTCTTGGAAAAGAGCGACTGGCCATTCACCTGCGCCAAAGAGTGCTGTCTGACAGGGGAGAGGAGACAGAGCTGCTGACCTATCAGGATAACACTGAGGACTTGCAGGTAGGGGGAGCAGATTGTTAGGGGCAGTTTGGATCTCATTCCTTAACCAAGACTGAACTCTTTGTACTGTATGTGATGGTCAATGTGTACATCTGGCTTGCATGTGTGCTATGTTTGTGATAAAATACATGAAACAATACATTAAAAAAATCTATGAAAACAACTCTCCCCAAACTTTGACCCTCAATGTGAATAAGAGAAAATTTCGATGAAAAGCTCACTAGCTAAAAAAAAAAAAGAAACCTCAGGAAGGGCGCAAGACTGGTAAGATTAAATGTTGACAGCAAACTGGAGAATAAACAGGATAAACAGATAAACATCAAACTTTGTCTACATTGAATTTGTCATCATAAGAACGACACCTGGTGTAGGTGTATCAGTGCTATCTTCACTACATAGCTTCACTCAGTCCCACATAAGCAGACATACACTAATATGAATTAGCAAGTGTACTTATACGAAAGGGAAAAAAGGACACACTAAATTCTTACTGGTAGGAACCTAGTACTAACTGGTTAAACATTAGATTATAGGAAGAGATTCACTCTTAATAAGTGAAGAGCACTGAGCTCGGGGCAAATGATGAGACAGATTAAAAGGTTTTTAGTTTGGATAGAAATCTGTTTCAAATGGGATTGCAGTAATAAAAGCCCAGATACCTGAAGTTTTTTCACTAGGACAGATAATGAGCTACCACTGGAAGACGTGGCTCTATACTATAAATCCGATAAGAAGGGCAGTTCAAGTCCATCTAACTGTCAGAAGTAAGAGGCTACATGAATAGAAGATAGAAGATTTATTACAGGATCAAACTTTGTTGTTTTCGTCAAGACTCTTGCCAAACAGTCACGTTTTGTATGAGCTAAGCACACTTAATGTGAGCATACAGAATAAATCACATTCACACACAATCTCAGGCAGGAAATTAAGAGAAAAGTTCATTTTTCACTTTCCCACTTATAAGTATAATTGTGAATAACTACATTAAGTACATTAAGTTGTGTGTCAGCATTGGTATTAAAATAAATCATTGTAAGGGAAGCAGGTGTTAGGAATGTATAGATAACACCTGCTCTGCGTGTGTTACAGATGGACATTACGATGCTAGCTGATCACATCATGGAAGCTTCAACTGGTAGGCTTAAACAGGAGGCTATGGAGACTCAAACAGACTCTGGGAAGGTGGGGATCAGCAGTGATGTCAGGTTACTGTCTGGTTACCTCGGTGAGGTGGAGAGGTGAGTAAAAGTAAAATTCACCACATTTTCTTCATCTAACTCCATAAATAGCTTAAATCATTTTTTATCATAAAACGGTGGCTTTGCTCTCTGTTTCTCTCCAGGTTTCTGAACTCCAAGCCCCAGACTCCTTGCCCCAAACCAAACTCTCTCTCAGGGCCTGAGGATCAGCAGAGTCCTCAGGCTAAGCAAGCCCCATCCTCCCCCTTTGACTGGAGCTCCTTCCTCTGTGCAGCTATGAAAGAGGAGAGGTTGAAAACTGACTCCTCCTGTCTAGCCATGACTGAAACAGAGCAGGGAGAGCTGTATGAGACCATCAGGCATGCCCTGCACTCCCTCAGAAAACACAAGGTACACGTCCTCCACTCCTTTAGGGAAACACTAAATTTGCCCCAGAGGTTGTAAAATAATCTGATGTATTTTGTATATTGTTTTCAAATGATCTTCCTCTCTAAATTTCTTTCTTTCATAAATTGCAGTATATTAAAAAAAAGTTTAATGATGACCATGAACCATTTAATATGTAAGATATTTATACAAACTCCTAATGTCACTCCCCTCAGGGTCCCATTCAGGAACAACGCAAAGAGATTGCAGCAGTGATTCAGCGCTGCTATAAGAGATACAAGCAGGTAGGGCTTATGAGCTGAGAATTATTCCTAATTATGGATACACCAACCCACCACTGCAGTGCTGAATCATATTTGCAGACATAATTGTATTATCAGATGTAATCTGTTCATAAATGTATCATACAAATTGTCAATTTAATTTAGCTGAAAGCATTTTGAGAATTAGCAGTATGGCCTAATTTAATCTTGTCATTTACTATCTCTGCCTCAGTGAAGTTTTTCAAAACCGTTGATTGAACTGAATCTCTACCAAACTGTTTCATAGCAGATAGTTTAGCATTAGCCAGTCTCGTAGAGACATTTATGAGTGTGAAAACAAAGTCAGCACAAAACACATTTAAATTTTCCTCAGTCTGCAAGTCATGATTTGAGAACACAAAGTGAGACATTTGTAACCATTAAACTTATTTGAGCACTTGGTGTTCAGTCGTTTCAAAATATGCTTTCACAATCTTCACAAGCCTTTTTGGTCAATTCTGAGCACTTGAGAAGTTGAGTTGACTTCTTGGTAACAGTTTTTGACCATTGTGACTTGAAAGGACACACCTATCAGGTTTGGGATAGGGTTATGTACTGTAGATTCCCTGGAGCAAACCTAAAATATTTATACATTTTAATGATTTTGTTTTTATCTTCATTCATTTGCAAATAAAACTGTGCTCAGAATTATTATTCAACATGACAAAGCTATGTGTCCTGTGCCGCCAAAAGGCTTAATACCGCTGCTGTGTTCTATCTCAGTATGCACTTTATAAGAGGATGACCCTGGCAGCCATCCTGATACAGAGTCGTTTCCGGAGTTTCCATGAGCAGAGGAAGTTCCAACAGAGTCGTAGAGCAGCGGTCCTCATCCAGCAATACTACCGCTCCTACAGACACTCCCTCAGGTACTTCACATGCATAAACGCACTCGCAGACACACACTCACATACACGGGTTAATTATGTTGTAAAAAATTTCTTACACCCACGTCTTCGCCTACAGCAGCCTCCTAACTAAAAAACAGAACCAGGCTGCTCGCAAGATCCTGAGGTTCCTGCTCCGATGCCGCCACAGGTGAGGCATGAAACGCTCCACACACTCTCAAACACCACTGTGCACACATCTACTGACTCATACACATGCTCATATACATTACACACACACACTTACTAGCCCACTGCCACACGTGCGCTCACTACATTGGTGCTAATAGTTGGTGTTGTTTTACTGTTCCTGTGAAGCCCCTTGATGGACCATAGGCCTCTGAAACGGGTGAGTCTTCTCTCCCTCTCTTCTCTCTCTCCCTCTCTCCTGGTGGCTGATGCCTGTTTGCATGTCAGCGGAGGGAGGGGGAGAGGAGGTCCTGGATTATCATCCTTCCCTCTCGCTCTCTCTCTCTCTTCTTCCCTCCCTATCTCCCTGTCTCTCTCTCTGTCTCTCTCCGAGGACTGCTGAATGATGTCAGTAGTTGTGCATGACTGACAGATAGATAGAGGAGCGATTCTTGCATATGGTCTTCCTGGGGGCATGTTCTGACTGACATCATTAGGGGATGTTAAATGTCTTGCTTGGCCTGCCAGTCTCTTTTATTTGTGCCTTGATGGGTGGGGGAGGATAACACAGGATTGTGTGTGAGTGTGTGCGTGCGCGTGTGCGGGGCAGGAATTGCAGGAGGTTTGTTGAGTATGGCCTTTGGTTACAAAAATTGGGGAAACAAACACTTTACCAAAGAAAATGTACACTTACACACACAGAAGCACACACTCTAATGTGTGTTTGGTTTCTCCTCAGGGCCAGAGAGCAGAGAAAGGCCAGGGGTCCTGAGAGCCCATCGTCAGGCCCCACACACAGCCCCCTCAGCCTGTGAGCAATCTATACAACTTCCCTGCCCTCCATCTTGTCCTTTTTCTTTCTCCTCTCCTCCATCCTTCCCGAACTCTCTCCCTTTCAATCCTCTAACCCCATTTCTCCTCCCCTCTTCTTTCCTTCTCTTCCCCTTCACTCTCACCCTCTCTCCCCTCTTCTCTCAAGAGGGAAAAAAAACTCTTCCCAGACAGACTGAGGACAGGATAGGTGTCCATCATGGCAGCTCAGACAGACAGACTGCTGGGTAGAGCCCAGGGACCTGGCTCTGCCCACAGCACTGATCCTCCTCCACAGTTTCACTGGGAGGCCATCACATTAACCTCATGGCATTCTTTGCACTCTTCATGGGTATGTTTCTTTGCAAGAAAAAGTCAACGAGTCAAACAAGAGAACACGAGGAAGCATCTGACAACGACATCTTGCCGTTCATGGCAGCGACTGGATGCGCTGAAAGGCACTGGTGATGAACAGCTTGCTCAAGAGGCTACTTTGACATGCAGAAAATACACAAAACCTGTTGCGTTTTGTATCCAAACAGTGATCCATGAAAGAATAAGAAAACATAAACCAAAAAACTCACTTCTATGTTGCATTTGCATGCAAGGTTTTTTCGCTTATTCCTCCTCTCCATCATCCTGAAGAACTGTAGTGGCAAATCATTCTGCTGATTCAGTATATCACAATATCACCAACCACTCTGACTCACAGGCTTACAAACCTATTAATCAGTCACCCGATCCAAAGGGGAGGAACTGCACTTGAATGTAAGAGGGGCATTGTTAGATAAAGGGTTGGGGTCAGAATAACGATGTCTTAATTTGTTACATGGACTTTGTATGGAGTCGTTCTCAGAGGCAGCACTTTGCTCGCCTGACGTGGTGTGTCCGTGTTTGTTCAATTCAATGCATGTGTTTGAGCTACAAGCTCCTGCATGCTTGCCAAACTGCTTTAGTGTTGTTTCTTTTGTATTTCTATGTGTAGTTGTGTCTCACTTACGTCCTCATCAACTTATCCTTGCCCTGTGTAATGTGAACTGTGTAAGGACAAATGACTTATTTTGGGTGCTTTTTTTTTTACTTTATTTATTTAAGGGTCTAATTATTAATTTAATTGGCTCAAGAGTGGTTTAGCTTGAGACTGGTTTTCTCCCCTTGTGTGGTAAAATATGACATGTTCCAATGGTTAAATGTCTCTGTTAGTTTGTTCTTTGCGTGAACCTCTAAATCCTAACTGTGGTTTTGAGGAGAGAGTCACATACCATTGCCTTGACTTCTTCTTGACTCTGAGAGGTCTCTATGCTTGCTCTGTACAGGACATGGGTCCTATACCTGCCCCTATACAGGGCATTGGTCCCCATATTAGCCCATACGGGCGATCAAATCCATATTTTGGACTATTGCATATTCCTGTATATAAACTGACGAGGTAAGGGGATATGAGGACCCTGAAACTTTTTCATAAGAGGACTGTATTTAAGATTATAAATTATTTTACTCCCATAATGAGAACTTAAGACAGAGACTTGGGTACACAGGATGGCTGTATTGCTTGTATATAATGTAGATATTACAAACGGAGTAATGTGCATGAGATTTAAGACAAAGAAACAGCAAAAAGAACACGTTAGTGGCTATGGACTGTGAGAGGATTTTAACTGCTTCACTTTAAGAGTATCCAGTATAAGTGTTACTGAAAAGAACATTTTGTTAAAGCATGCAACTGAAAAATCTAATGTTAGAATTATAAGTGGGAAAACAAAGTTAGCTGAAACAATGATCTTTCAGACAAAACATTTACACTTTGTGCTTTTGTTTCTTGGCTAGCAAAAATTAAACCCTTTTTGCCAGTAGTGCCAATTATTATGAATGCTATTTTGCCTAACAATATGTTATGTTGGGGAAACCAACACCCAAAAGATATCAGTAAGACCCACAGAGGCAACACACACACACAACAACAACAACAACAACAACAACAACAACAACAACAACAACAACAAACAGTAGAAGAGATCTAGTACTAGCTCAACCGTAGACCTCCTACAAGTTCTGAAGTTTGTCTGAGGCAGACTTACGTATAGATGATGATGATGATGATGGTGATGATGCAAGTGTGAAGATGATACTAATGGTGATGAAGATGATGATCGTTTTAATGTGAATGCAATGACTGATGACCCAAAAAAGGGAAGAGGGCGCTACATTCTTTACAATGTGGTTGTGCTTCAGCAACACACTAGCTTTTATTAAGACCATTAATCACACCTACAGCGGATCCAGCCTGGCCTCCAGTCAAAGCTTTCCATCCTCAAACAGAATGTCTCCTCCCCACTTTTTACATATCATTTGATTAATTTTTCTTTTCTCCTCATTGTCACTGCCATTACTCTACGACATGTACTTTGGACTTCTGGAAAGCTCTGTTTAGAAAGTGCCTGCTCAATAACAGAAAAGTGCAAGCTAATATCAGGAAATATCTATTGTATGTCCTCCAAAAGGTTGCCAGTCACCTGTTTATTTTCCTAAATTGTGTGTTAAAAATGAACTTGACAGTGTTAAACTTGATCCGAGTCTAAGTTAGAAGCTCTAATTTGTCAGTGGTATGAATGAATGCTCATGGCCTGACTGATGCTATGTGTTGCTTTATGAGAAAAAAACGATAATTACAGTATCACTTTATTCCCCACTTATGTGTGCATTTTGCAGTATTAGAAGGAGAAAACCATAGAATTCAGCCTCTGTGTATGAAAGGCACTGTCACAAGTCTATTTAATGTCCCAGTGTCGCTGTTGGGAGGAAGATGTGTCTTCTTGCATGGACTCACTTTGTCTGTCTTTCCTCAAAAAATGTCCTTGCAGCATTTAAGTGAAAGCATAACCCAGCAGTTTTCCAGAACAAAATAACTGTCATACACACTTTCTTTCTTTGTCTTTCTCTTTCACTTACTCTCTCACAAGCAAGCACACACACACACACACACACACACACACACACACACACACACACACACACACACACATACACACACACACACACACACACACACACACACATACACACACACGCGCACACAAACACATACAGTCAAACACAAATGTACACATTCACACACACTAAAAAAGCCACACTCTTTCTCTCTGTGCTTATGTCTTTGGGAACAATTAAATCTCTCCCTTAGATTTTACTCAGGGTTGAAGAACAGGGAGATGGTATGTGGAGTGTAATGATTGCTGACACAGAGTTGTACCACTGGTGAGTGTGTACATTTGTGTATGCATATGTATGCGTACAAACTTGTGTATATTAGGGATACTCCAGTTGTTCATTCACTATTTAGTATCCACAAATTTTCAGATCATGCTCTTGATTGACAAACTCCAACTCATATACCAGTCCCATTTTGAAGCAGCGAAAGTGATCTGTTTGCTTCATCCTAGCTGTATCTTGCATCACTTTTTCTACAAGAAAAAAAAAATCTCCCAATCCCTTATTTTATAGGATTTTGCTTGGATATAAACTAAATTCAAATCAAGTTATAAGTGATGTTTCTATTTATACACTTGCTCTTGTCTTAAACGCACAAGATTCTTAATACAAATAATTCTTAAATAATGCAAAAATAGGTAATGGCCACATATCAGCTCAAGTTTCTTAATTTAAAAAAGAAGTTGTAAGAGATAGTAAATTGAAAGATTTACAATTGGAAGATCTCTACTATGTGTGTTTCACATGTCTTCTGAATCTTCATCACACTGAGAGACAGCCATGGTTCGGACAGCGCTGTCAGGAGCATTCATGCTACGGTATCACTTGGACCTTCTCTTAAACTGCCCCTCCTCTCACATCAGCACAACTAAAGAACACTGCTTTGATTACACACACACAGATACATATACACACACCAACTCCAAATGCTTGCGCCTATTAACAGACACAGAATACACACACACACACATACACACACACACAAAACATAACACACAGATTGCAGAAAATCCATCAATATGTTCATGTTTTGGAGAGGATGGTGACTGTAAAAAGAGTATGTAGTGTTAAAAAAAAAAGTTAAAAAATAAAAAATAAAGAAATATTGCCATAGTAGACAGCTGGTAAACATGCGCAGAGATGGCCTCTGTTCTCATAAGTCCGCCTAGAAATGAATGGTATAACCTTTCAGGCCTTGTTTTGAGAGGGCGTGGCCAAACACCACATTGCATGCTAGAATGGTAGATCCTTATAGATAATCTATGGCTAGACCTCTCCTCTCCTTGCCTTCCTCTTCTTTCGCCCCGTCTTCCCTCTATCTCTCTCATTTCCTGCTGTATTCCCACCTTGCCTGCTGTTGTGTTCTCCATGCCTATCTCAGTCTTTCATTCCTCTTTTTTTGTAGCCTAGTTTTTACCTTTTTTTTGTTTTACAAATGTGCATGCACAAGCATCACTAAATTGTTGATGTTTTTAAAAGAATATTTTGTTGCTGAGGCCATGCAAAGTGTTTTGAATATTGCCCTTATATGTGGAAAATGTCTTCTGAATGCTTTACATAATTTCTGCTGTAAAATGAAATCAGAATAAAAAGAAAATTTGCACTTTAACTTAGTTTGTCTGATATTCATTCCATCCATGGTTTTTAAAAAATAAAGTTGTCATATGTCTTCTTTTACTTGTCATCAGCTACAGGCTTTCTGGTGAGCTGCACACTCTGTAGGCAGCAGGGCAAAATCTGTAATATGGTATTCCCCGAGAATTGTTAGAACAGAGGAGCCTATGGACATTACAGTTTCCTGTGAAGGTACGGGGTAAGGATGAATAGTTGAATAGTCATGGTGAACCTGGATGAGGTGCTACAAAGTGAAGAGAAACCTTGATGAGGGTTCTGCATGATTGATTGTTAGTTTGTACTTGACTGAATTCTAACTAAACAATTCATGTAGTCACATTTTTGCAAACAAAATATTTTTATCAATTTGTGGACAGTGATTTGGATGCATGAGTAAATTAAGAGGATACCATCTAAATACAGTATTTGCTCAGGCCATTCAGTCTATGCAAACATGACTGTATTTG